AAGACTACTGTTGGGAGTAGAGCATAGCCATGTCCGAAAGACCTAGATTCTAGTTTGATGGCAGTAAATTTCTTGGGTAATCAAGTCGAGTGTCATTCTTCATAGACGCGCGAGGAAGTGCCATGGGGCGACAAGATGATGTACACCTAGCATATGAGTAATGCGTATCAGAGAGTTTCGGGTGCCAGTCTAAAGCAGTTGGCGATTCAAAGTACGTTGTTAAAGCGATATGAAAAGCCTGATCACAGGGTGTCGATGGTGAACTTCCGCATGACCTTTTTAGGAGAATTCTTCGAACCATCTGACTAATGGTGTGGTGTTCCCGAAAATCAATCGGCCCTGACATTGAAGAACGGATTACTTAGCCTCCGAATACCGTTGCGTTCTATATTAAGCTACGCCGTTAGTGTTATCCAGGATGTACACAGTTAGCTGCAACACGGCATATACTAATTGCCTATCTGATGATCGTCTCCACACCTCCCAAGTGTCCGGTGACAATACTCTGTCTTTGGCGGTGTGACGAGTAATGGCGTGTCATATTTGGGTACCAACAGATGTTGGGAACCTGCATCGCGTCTGTATCGTACGTCTATCGCATCTGTAATCAGATTTCGGACCGACTCTCTCATGTTAGGATATCCCTTGAAGTCAGCATATGCTAAACAGTGAACACGCAGCTTTGAACCCTTCGCTGAGGACGGAAACCCTATCCCAAGAATTCCAACCCCAAGTGACATTTCGGATGCTCGGTATGACGGCGACACCAACGATCAATACCCGGAACGTAGAATGGTAGAATCGGACGTCCTCCCTATTTGATTGGACGATCGATACGCGGGTGAGATCTCACATTATGCGGATCCGTCACACCGCGTGTCGCCAGAGTGAGGATGTCGGTTCAAAGCGGCCGGCAGTTGTCTACGCATCTTGTGAAACCTTAAGCGCTTCGGTAAGCGCTGACTCGCCCACGTCAAGCAGCGCATAGAGACTATGACGTTTTATCGTAGTCGAAGCTGGTCGGGTGATTGATGTTTCAATAATCCTCCTTCTTGGTGTCAGAATGGCATTGTCCAAATCGAGTAGGCAAGGTGAATGCTAAAGTGTGCTCGGCTCCAAAGTGCATCACCGCATGTCCCGACAGCTTGGTAAATGCGGCACGGACAGGGCGTAAATAACCCCTTACATATGTCGATAGGCTTTGCTTATCCGGGAGCCTGGCGTGCTGTTCAGCTGCCGGGCGTAAACATTGGAAGGGCTCGTTTGGCTGCAAAAGGGCGGACTTCGGAGTAATCGTCGTGTACTAGCGCGCGATCCTGCAATCAGCATCCAGTACGTTACACCAGTTTGCTCCGAATCCGTTCGCTAGAAACGCAGTTTTCAGTAGTCGTTGTCTGATGCGAAAGTTGCGGAATCGGTTGAAGCGAACAGTCGGTACCATATTGTCGGGAAACGATGAGTTCACCAGTAGTTCCCTCGCCAGTACATCAAGATTCTTGATCGATCCCAACAACTCACGCCGGGGAGGTGCGTTGGTAATCCGTCTGCTTTATGCATCCTGCCAACGCCGCATACGTAATCGGAATTGCTCACGAACTGTGCCGCAGCCCGGCATGCTCGCATCCCGAGCTGCAAAGGCCAAATGGGTAGATTGCGCGAAGCACCGTTGCTGGACTACATGTCCAACGTGGCAATCGAGTATCGGTTTGTGGTTTGAAAATCTTAGTGTAGAAAGGTTGCTGGTGTCGTGAAGCTGTCAAGCTTGAGCATAGCACACTACACAAAAACTGGACCACATTCGACTCATGCCGCAACACTTTACCGAAGAGGAATCCTTCGGATCCTGTCGGTGAGGCCGTGTCTGGAGAACTGCCGGATCTCTTCGGCGAAAAGAGCGCGAGTACCGCGGTGAGGAGTCTTGAGCTGTTGCATGTTGTTAATGCTCGTGATGGGTTAGTGCGACCGTGGGTATTTGTTTTGGGACCCAGCGACGACGTCAACAGCAGGCGTGATCATGTGAGTTTGCATAACAGGTCCAGATGAATGCATAATCCGGTAAGGCATCATCGCAGTCAGGTTGGTCACGGAAGGTGGCGCTCCACAATCAATATGAATGGAGAATCGAGATTTGGCACGGAGGTGGGCGGCGTATGTAGACGTTGGTGACAAGCGCGCTGTTCCGCGCTTCCCGTCGCTACTCGAGTCATATAGCGGAAGGATGAGGCGAGGCTGAGAGAGAGCAGACGTCAGCTCCGTGAGCACCATGGCAAGGGCTGAGCCGTTCTTGGAATCCAGCGGATTGGAAATCCAGCGGGCGGCACAGCTGTGAGGACAATGCCGTACGGCCTGCGGCGCAGGTCCAGGTCTTTGTCTGATCGCTAGCGGGAACGGAACGCGCCGCGAGAACCAGCGAGACGGACTGATGGAATTGTGAACAAGCTGCGCACGCATAACACGCACCACATTTGCAGTGAGTTACAACGACAAGTCGCAGCCGACAAACGGCCGCGCTTAACGAGGCGTTATTTCGTGTGCAATGCGTGGCGAAACTGGTGAGGTGCTATTGGCTGACGCACCGGGGTTGCTCAGACGCATGACCGATCGTCGAGCAACGCGTGAGAGTCAGACAGTGCTCCGTACAGCATACAACGGGTAAGTTGCGCACCTGCCAATTAGCCGAGGACAGACATCGCGGCTCTTGACGTATGTAGTGGTGGAGGTTTGACCATATTGAGCGGGCGGGTTCCTGGCGAGCAAAGTTTGCACGCGAAGCGCCCATAGATGAAGGTGTACGAGACGGGCCGGGCAGCCAACCATGGAGGGTATCACGCAGCAGACAGTGGCACTCGCGACTTGGACATGGAGCGCAGCACAAGCATTAGGCCTATGGCAGTGCCGCAGCCGAGCATATTGATGATGCTAAGGGCATAGGACGGGTGGGCGTGGTGGGAAGGTGTGCGGCGTGGATCTGATAAATGAAACACGGCGAGACCCATGAGCGCCTTCTTGTTTGGTGCTGGCCTTGAAACCGGCGGAGGCAGGCACCCAGCAGGCCTCTGAGCAGGCGGTTAGGAGGAGGCAGTGCCGATGGGCCATGACGGCACCCCTTGATGGAAGCGCGCGGGAGGCCGGGCGATACGCAGCGCGTGGTGGTGAGGAGGGAGTGATTCGCAGCCGTCATCGCAGGCGTCGCGGGCGCCGTCAGGCGGGGGCTGCCACTGTTTTGTGTGCTCGCTATGTGTCGGGCAGGCTGCGGTGCCGCGGTCTGGTGAAGAGTTTGGTGGTGCGCGGGCGTGCAGCGCGGCTACTGCGTTTGGCGATGGAGCAGGTGGATAAGCTAAGGTTTGGGCAGCGCCAATAACAACGACACAGCACTTTAATGTGAGGTTTCCGCGTTGGCTTGCATCCTTCTAACGATTCCTGGTCGATCAACCTCGCATGCCAGCACGCCGGGAGCGCTGGTCGCACGCAGCCGTCTGTGCCATCCTGGAGGCCTCTCCGCCCACTCTACCCTCCTTCACACCCAGAAAACGGCTGTAGGGCTGTAGACGCGACTTTTCCGCCAAAAAAACGTGGCAGCGGCCAAAATGCAGGGTCTGTTATGTAGATAGTCGAAGGAACCGCGTCTGTGGTCCTTCTACGAGGTGTTCGGTGATGGTTCTGTGCCAGCCCGGGTGGGACAGATAAACGCGGGGGGCAGGGGCCGCCTGCAGCTCGGGCCAATGAGGAAGGGACGACATGGGTGGCCGCCCGGGATGTGTAGAGCCCATGTGTGCGCCAGCAGAAGGAGCGAACAGCCGCCCTCCGTTGAATCCTGTTGCTCATCCGTGGCCAGCGTCTGGCGTCGGGTCGCCCCTCCCACATTCGTCGCGCCATATACTGTCTTCCCGCCATATACAGCCCCCGCCGTGGAGAGGCGGCTTCGCTGGCATCGCATCGCCCGAACGACACCACGCCCGCGCTGCCAACCCCGGGATCCTCCCTCTACGCACACACTGACTCTGAAGAGCACAGACGACTCCCGGGCCACCAGTCGTCGAGTCCCGCACGGTGCCTGACCTGACCGTTGAACTCATCTTACTCCGAGTACGCTACAGTGTAACCACGACATCGTCCCCGGCATCACTCAAGATCGTCACTGCAAAGAATTCCACGACCCCAACGAGACACCAAGATTATGGTCGCTGGACACCCTCCCCATAGCCCGCCGTAGATTCGACTTGACTCCGTAGACTATCCAGCCTTGACCCCCAGCTCTGATATCCCGCCTTGGACATGTCGACCATACTGCATATGCCCGCCTTTAATTCCGCTCCCCATGGCCCTGCGTTTACTTCCGTCAATGGTCGATTGTCTCTGAGCCCGCCCGACGAGAAGAAGCCAGCCGTTGCCGCCAAACCTTCTGCCTGGAGTCCCGTCTCCCCAGATCTTGAGCCCAAACATCACTCCCGCTCCCCAGAGAGCGACACGAGTTCGTCCACTGTTGGCAGTGGAGATCGATCTCCTGATAGTTCAGACAAGACAAGGTCTTCTCCTGAACACCCAAATAAGAGAAGACGCTCCGGCTCCGAAGAAGACGCCTACGGCCAACACAGCCCTGATCAGAGGACCGCTGGCCCCAGGCAGCTTCCACTTCCATACCAGCCCTTGAACCGCAACACAACCATGAGCATGGAAGCCCCTCCACTACCGACTCTGCCTCCACTAGGTCGTCCAGACGCTGAACGACGCTGGCAAACCGAGCCCCGTGAATTGCCTCACGCAGCCCATCAGCATTTCCAACGCCATGAATCGCGTCCTATAGAGCACACCCGCACCAATGACATGTCTCCTGATTCGCAGTCTCTTAGCCGTGACATGATCGAAGAGACTGAGTTCACGCGGGCTGGTGTACAGGTCGAGCTCAAGAAGCGGAAACGGGTATGTACCCTGAGCCTAACCCCTGACCAATACTAACCTCCGCAGCAATTTGCCAACCGCACCAAGACTGGCTGTGGAACATGCCGTAGGAGGAAGAAGAAGTGCGACGAGGCCAAACCAGAATGTACGTTTGAAAAATGGCTTCCCGTTCTGACCAAGTCTGACCTCTAGCAGGCAACAACTGCACACGCGGTGGCTTTGTCTGTGAAGGCTATGCCAACAAAGTACCTTGGCCGAAGAATGGGCCCGCCAAACCACCTGCACTGATAGCCAAGGACAAGCTCGCTGCCTACCCTACGTGCCCAACTTGTCAAGAAACGCACACACCTCACTGCAGACCACCTCATAGCTCTGAAGTGTCATACACACCCTCTGAGATGCATTCAACCAACAGTATCGACCGCAAGTCATGGAAACCCTGGAGTGACTCTGCGCCTGCACCGCCACCAGTCCGAGCTGCCTACCAACCAGAGCCGCCGCCACCACCACCATCAGTACAGTACATGCAACCTGCGGTCAACCACTATGAAAGGCCTTCAAGCCTGGGCCATAGACCTGTACCTCAACAGCAACAGCAACCACACCACAGTTCTCGTGGTTATCACCATGCTCCGCCAAGCACGACTCATCTCGCTATCAACACTGCTGTTCCTACCACTATGTGAGTTTCTTCTTTCAGTTCAGAATCAACTGGGTTGTCAACAGCTCCTGGACACCGGATCGTGTCTATCACTTGTCTTTGAACTCAAACTGGGATGCACTCGCATTTCATCAGCTAACACGTTTCTAGGGCCGCCAAGCCTATCCAACAGCTGCATGTGGCACCACAGCATCCACCGCCTCCCCCACCACCAACATCCTTGCCACCTACGCGGTCACCGACACGCTACTCCTCGTCGTCTACATCGACCATGTACAGGTCCGAAAAAGACAAGATGCTTGCTGGAGAGCCATTCAACCCCTTTGACAAGGTCCTGATGAAAGAGCGTCATTTGAGCGCGCTAGCACAATCTTATTTCAACGGAAATATTAACCCCTCCAATTTTCTATCTAGCCAAACGGTCGACCACCTTTTCAAACAAATCCTGAACGCGGGCAAGAGAGGTGATGAAGCCAGACGAATCGAAACTCATATGGGTGACAACTGTCATGTTGCTGCGCCCTTTGCTTGCGATTATGGCTACCACCTGAGTTTCGGCGAAAACATTGTCATCGGCGCTGATTGTCGTTTTCATGACTCCGCGAGGATTGCCATTGGAAGGAACTGCAAGATTGGGGCCCGAGTTAGTATACAGACTCTGAAGACACCTACCGACACCAAATCTCTGAAGGGCAGCAACGGCACAGAGGTTGCGCAAGAGGTCCTTATCGGGGAGAACGTGTACATTGGTGATAACTGCATAATCGCGGCTGGCGTCCAGATCGGTCCCAATACCATAGTGAAGCCGGGTTCTGTTGTGTCAAAGGTAGGTTGATCACTCCCTTATCAGTTTGAGCGTGCCCATACTGACCTCGCTTAGCCTTTGCCCGCCAACTGCATCGTTTCCGGAAACCCCGCCACTATTGAGTCTCTGAACTGATCAGTGTAAGGATACCCTGCGTCCTGCCGTCTTTATAGACATTCCTTTGCACTGAGGAGATATGGGGGTTGAGTTAACCTATTTGATATGGGTCATGTATGTCATATTAAGCGCCACTGTGTGGTGCAGGAGTTTCGGTGTTTCTACAACTGGAGGATACCCATTGCTAAAATTTCTTGCTATTTATGGAAGGGAGAGAGGAACCAGTATATAGTGGTACGTTGAGCACGGGTGGTATCTGACTTGTATAGTCTCCTTGTATCTTGGTACCTTGCGCCTGCTGGACATGGCTCTAAAAGCTCAAAAACATAACATCTCCTACACGCGGTCGCTTCAATCCATAACTGCATTCCGTTGAACAGATGGGCTGAATTTGCCTGTTCGCGGGTAGACATGCATGGATACATCAATGTTCCATAACTGCGATTACCCCGCCATGACCTACTAGAGTGCATTGAGCCTAGCTCGGATCCTGGCCGTGAACAGAACTACACGTGCGCAGCATGGCCCGTGCACGGAATCTGAGCTTCAGGCCGGGAATCTCAAAATATCCGCGGCGAACAAGCCAGCGCCGCATCTCCAACGTAACAAACACCACGACCACAATGCCGCCCAAAGCGCCCCTCAATTGGGGTTTACTACCACCCTCCTTCCTCATACCTTCATCAGCGCGCTGCCTCCTCCAGCAAAATGCGCAACAAATCTCCTCAAGACCCGCCATCGCATACACATCGATCCGAACCATAAAATCTACCTTCGGTCCCAAACCCGACCGTTTCGCACATCACCCCGCGCGAGAAGCCCTCACCAGCACATCAACGGCAGCGCTCGAGCGAAAAGCCCACAGCACGCCCCTGCGAACCGGTCTCCTCGCTTTGAAAAAGGGCATGACATCCATCTACGAGCCTGAAACAGGGAAGCGGACAGCATGCACAGTTCTGCAACTCGACCGTAATGAAGTCGTTGCGCATAAGCGGAGAGATATCAACGGGTACTGGGCTGTTCAGATCGGGGCTGGGCAGAAAGAAGCGCGGAATGTGACGAGGCCTATGTTGGGGCATTTCGCGGGTGCGGGCGTGAGCCCCAAGAGGTGGGTTGTTGAGTTCAAGGTTAAAGATGAGGAGGGCTTGGGTGTTGGTATCGGGGAGATGGTGGGTGCGGGGTGGTTTACAAAGGGACAGTGGGTGGATGTTAAGGCGATAAGTAGGGGTATGGGATTCGCTGGTGTAAGTTCTGGATCTCTATCTGGTCATGAGCACGGGTGATGCTAGTTGGGATGGAATGCTAACGGGCAATTTGTTCAGGGTATGAAACGACATGGCTTCGGTGGTCAACCAGCTTCTCACGGTCAATCGCTCATGCATCGTGGTATGGGCTCTGCCGGAGGTTCCCAGGGTTCGGGTTCGCGTGTCTTGCCTGGAAAGCGTATGGCGGGTAACATGGGAAACGAGAGTGTGACGGTCAAGAACTTGAGGGTGTTGCAGGTGGACGAGCCGAATGGTATTGTGGTTGTTCAAGGTACGGGATGCAAAGTACGATCATGTATGAGTTGGTGCTAACGACGTGGGTGTAGGCTGTGTTCCAGGACCAAAGAACCAGATTATCCGTGTTCAGGATGCGAGGGGGAAGCCGTGGCCGAAGGGACCCATGTCGACGGCTGAGCTTAAGCCAGAGCAAGTCTTGGCTGAAGCGGGTGTACTGGATGCTACGGAGGCGACGACAGTCAGTGCTTAGGAACACATGAACGAGTGGAGGAATGAGGCATTGTATCATATGACAGAGTGAGGTACTTTGGATTGTCTGGTTACCAGCATGCATTAGGCGGAGCAAGGCAATTGTACGATTATGTATACGACCTTATTCCGTATTCGATGGATGAGATGTTACTGCAATGGTAGTGACGTCGTCCCGCCACAATTGGGAATGCAATAGGAAAGAACTATCATATTACCAAGTCGTTACACATTTACATCGTTTCGTCAAGCTTCATCACATCATCCTCATGCGCACCCTTCCAACCATCATCACCACATCTTCCCATACGCCCTCCCACCAGCACCTGCCCTCTCAACACCAGCAACCCTAGCACCCCAAGTATCCTTCTCACAAACATCACTCCGCCCATCATCGCTAGAAGCATAGTCACTCCCCTCCGCCACGCCATTCCCACCTCCACTAATCCGCTCATCATCCTCGCTATCACTAGGAAGATAGTCACTCCCCTCTGCTACACCATTATCATCACTGTCACTCCTATACCTCCCAATGCCCCTCCCTTTTCTAACAGGTGTACTACGAACAGGAGATGACATGTAAGGACTCCGGTGTCTTCTGCCCCTTACTGGTTCATAGGGACTCCTACTTCGACTTCTGCTCACGCTGCGGAAGGCGCCGGGCATGGGGGCGTAGTCACTGCCGCTGTCCCGATGCCGTCGGAATAGAGGTGGTGGTGAAGGTACTGCAGGGGGTGGCGAATGGTAGTCTTCTGAGTCTACGGCTGTGGGTACGCGGGAGAGGCGGTCGGAGTGGGAGGAGCTGGGTCGAGATGCTATGTCTGATAATGCGGCTGTGTGGGCGCCAGGTCTGTGGTCGGAGTAAGTGGCATGGTCGTCATCGTCTGAGTATGTTGAACCGCGTCGGTGGCGGGAGTGGTCTACATGTCTTGGAGCAGAAGGAGGAGGAGGCGGAGCAGAGAAACTACTGGCCTGATGGAAGGAGCTGTCCGGGCGGTGTAGACTGGGCCGGACAGATCGGGGATCCAGATTCCTTGTACGAGGCTCACGATGATTGCGGCGGCTATCCGCCTCGAACCGGTGGTAAGATTCTTCTGAATCCCTCCAACGAGTACGTTCACCATGGTGCCTCTCTCGGTAATTGTGTGGACTTGGCGCGTAGTCATCTTCATCATCTCGCTCAGGGTCTGGGTATCGCCCGGAAAATCTAGCTTGGCGATTCACTGGGTTGCGATTCGCCGGGCTGCCATCGCTGTAGGATTCGGTGTCGGACCGATCCGTTGTATGAGTGTGGAGCTGTTGGAAGCGGTCGAGAAATTGCTTTGCTTCGCGGTAGTTCTCGTGCTCCCTAGGGTTTAGGCGGGGCGGTTGGCTGAAGGAATCACTATTGCCCCAGCCCGCTTTTACCCTCCGATCTTCGGACTTGGCTTTGGGATGAGGAGCGTAGTCTGAGGGGGGGCTATCACTGTAGTTCTCTCGAGGAGGGTGGCGGATCGGTGAGCCATTACCCAGGGAATCGTCCGTGGAACGGTCATCGTAGCGAGACCCACGGTTTTTCCAAACATCTTTCTTCACTTCAGGCGTGGCTATGTAATCTTCGTCAGACTGAGAATCTTGTGCGATGCAGTCTGGATCTGAAGATTGAGCCCGATACTGTGGACGCCCAGATGGTCGTGGTTGAGGCCTTGGGCGAGGCTGTGAGAAACCGTACACGTCCCTTGGTTCTCTTGTCTGCGTAGCGTATTCGGATGCCATAGCCCGATTCACATATCGCCTATGATTGGGGGGTAAATCTTCGTAGTACCCACGGCGTGGGGTGTCGTAGTCCGAGCTCGAATCTGTGGGCGACGAGACGTAGTTTTCTGAATGCTGGGTATCCCGGTAACTACGCGGGACTTGGCCACTATATCTCGGTGCTGCGCGGTAGGAGCTGCTCTGCTTCTGACGGCTTCGGCTGCTCTTGTGTGGTTGGTCCCACATGCTGCTGGGAAACGCGTGGAAGCACCACGATCTAGTGATTAGTTGACGTTGAGCTGCGTAATTGGGTTATGCAGTCTCGCAGAGGAGAGGTTCAGGCTGCGAGTCGCTTCATTTCGTTGTCGTGGCTAGCTACTGGAGAGTAGGGAAAGGCGTCATGCAGAACCACGTGGTGGGCGTCTAACCGCAAGTAAAACGCGCTAGTGTCGCATCGGACCAAGCCTCACCAGTCCGCCATCTTCGATGCTTCAACACCATCACCATCACAACCCGTCCGTGCGATGTTGTCTCCCACCACCCGTTCTATAGCCGGGAAGTAAACTTTAAGATGGAAAGTTTGCGCGTCCACCAACCCGGGAATCTTTGGTGGATGGCGCGCTTGCTAACCGTGACAGCTGACAGCGCTAACTGATCTCGTCACCACTGCAACCAACGACATTCGCAATGATGAAGAACGATTCAGGCAATGCTTGATTAGTCTTGTCTTCTCCTCTTGTTCATCACATTTCATCTCTCGTCAGCCTTGCGCTCTCGGAAAAACCTGGTTGCTGTTGCAGATTCCACCTATCGGAACAATCACTCCCACAGAACCCTGGGATTTCGCAAAGCTCAGCCTCATGAGCCACAGACCAGGTCTTCTACCCTCCCGCAAGGGGCAGTCCTGTCATCTTATGTCGGATAAGCTTAATCAATATGTTTCCGTCGAGTCTGGCCCGGGCACGGTTTTGTGGAGCTAGTGGCTGCCCTGTTATGTTCATGAAACGACAACAGCGGGACTGCCGGGACTAGACTCGTTGCGAAGCTACTTCCGCAACGCCATTCTGTTTGTAAACGCCCGTCAAGCAACCTATCCATGGATGCATGAGCACCAAACTACGCACTGCCGACATGTTCATGACTCTTTGGTGGTGGAAGTATCTTTCCGCCCGCTCCAGGCACTGGTATGCGCGTCCTGGCTTCTAGTAGCGATTCGAATTGTCCGATACCCACTGCCGTCGGTGATGAACGGCGTCAAGGGTTCAGGTGCATGCTCGAAAGGAACATACCCCCGTAGGTAGAGTGAGTGGGGCGTGCTTCAAACACCAGCCAAGAATCCTACGAGATATAAAGGAACGGGTCAGCCACCGGATATCATATCATCCAGTTCTTAGCATCATTCTCTCATTCTCTCATTCATCACCTGTC